GATATGCCACAGAAAATTCTAGCAAAAAAAATTGTAGGGAGGTAGTTATTATTAAAATTTTATTTGTTTATTTGGGGGCTACATTGGGCAGTACTCAGGGGGTGGCCGGCCCAAGTTTAATATGCACTTATGGTCATGTATGATCCCTGAGCACAGAGTCAGAAGTAAGCCCTGAGCACCACCTAGTATGGTTCAAAAGCAAAAAATTAAATTAAAAGATAATTTAAGAGGCGAGTAGAGTGCTTGCCTTTCACACAGCTGACCTGGGTTTGATCCCCTGTGGTCCTCTGAGTCCTATCAGGAATGATCACTGAGCACAGAGCCAGAAGTAAGCCCTGAGCACCTCTGGGTATGACCCCCAAACAAACAGCAAACAAACCCAAAAAGATAATCTATGAATGAGGAAGCAGACGTGAGCGACTTGCCTCGGATCAGGTCCAGATCCTGCAGGTACTCTGAGACCTGACAGGGACTCACCTGTGGGTTCATTTAATTCCACTGTGCATTTTTAGCCACCAAACTACCGTACCCCAGAGAACTCAAGATCAGAGTCTCCCTGTGACCATGAGGATGTGTGCTTGAGTTGTTAGCTAGATGCCTCATCTTTCCACCACCCACCACCCACCCAGCCATCCATGCATTCGGCAATCTGGTTAAGCAAACAACTATCCATCTGCTGTTATCTGATGCTTGTCTCACCCCACAGCTACATATGGTGGAATCCTAACCCCCAAGGCGGTGCTATCGGGAGGTGGGCCTTTGCGAGGTGATGAGTGTGCAAGAACTCTCCGAGGATCAGTACCTCTGTAGAAGAGGCCTCAGAGGGACTGCTCATCCCTATAACAGCTCCCTGATTTCCCACTTCCAGCTTTCAGAACTGTCAGAAATAAGAATAAATAAATAAAAGTCCCAGTGTGGACATTTGTCCCACCAGTCCAAACAGACTTAGATTCCATTTTCCCATCATCCATCCGTTCATCCCATTCCATGTATCCTGGCATGAACGGGGGCAGCAGTTGGAATGAATGATTCAGAGGTCATGCAAATATCCATTCCACACATAGCAGGGGACATCCTCTATACCATTTCTTTTGGGGCCTGGGGGGTATGCACCTGTGCTCCGGGGCTACTTTTCGCTCTGTGCTCAGGGACTGCTCCTGGCGGTACTTGTGGGAATGATATGCAATTCGGGGGGTCAATCAAGATTAGCCCCATGCACGTAGAGATGACAAGGAAATAGTAATTCATCTAAAGAGCTTGAGGGTTTAGTCTTTCCTTTTTTGGAGAGTCACACCCAGCAGTGCTGGAGGACCTACTTCTGGCTCGGTGCTTAGGGGTTGCTTGCAAAGGTACTTGGGGGACCATTTGGTATCAGGGATTGAACTTGGACCTCCTGCATGTAAAGCCCATGCTCAGTCCAATGAGCTCTCTCTCCAGCCCTCAAGGAATAATTTCTTTGTGCAGTGCAAAAGTCACAATTTGGGTTTTCATGTTCATCTTCCCGCTTTTTCATCTACACATCATTTTACTCATTCCTCTTCAGTGGGCCTCCATTTTATTCATGGAATAAGCTGCCTCTTTTTTTGCTTCTGAATTGAGCATTTGCTGCTCCTTTTTTGGGGGGGAGGGGGTACACCCGGCAATAATCTGGACTTACTTTTGGCTCTGTGCACTCAGGGATCACTCCTGGAAGGGCTTGGGAGACCATGGTAAAAGCCTCCTACTGAAGACCAGTTTATGCTGATTTGGGGCATTTGTCATCCTCCTGCTATATCCCAACTATGAGAGGTCATTTTGTTCCTATCCAGTTAATGCATTCCTATTCTTTGCTTCTTTTTTTGTTACTTTTGTTTTGAGGCCACATCTAGCAACGCTCAGGGCTTACTCCTGTCTCTGCATTCAGGAATCACCCTTGCAGTGCTTGGGGGACCATATGGGATGTCTGGGATCAAATCTGGATCAGCTAAGTGCAAGGCAAACACCCTACCGGCTGTACCGTCTCCTTGGCCTTTGCTTCTTAACTAAAATGTCTTGGCTCAGAAAAACTTTTTCTGAGCACCTACATAGAGAAACATTGTCCTTTACCTAGCTCTCACTATTCAGTTTATGATTTCACAATCTAAAATTATGTTATAAAATCATGTTATAATAGACTGCTTCCTAACTGCCCAGGAACTGTCATTGGTGGTCTTTTGGTTTGTATTCTGTCTGCCTGATTTCTGTAAATGACCCATAATAGGCCTTTATTTATTTATTTATTTTATTTATTTTTATTGGTGGGGCTGGAGCGATGGCACAGCGGGTAGGGTGTTGTTCGGCATATTGATAGCAGGTGTTTGGCATATCGAATATCATATTTGATATGCCAAACAAGTAATAACAAGTCTCACAATGGAGACGTTACTGGGCCCGCTCGAGCAAATCGATGAACAACGGGAGGACAGTGCTACAGTGCTATTTTTATTAGTGGGGCTGGAGTGATAGCACAGTGGGTAGGACATTTGCCTTGCACACAGCCAACATGGCCGACCAGAGTTTGATTTCTCCTCCCCTCTTGGAGACCCTGGCAAGCTACGGAGAGTATCTCGCCCACACGGTAAAGCCTGGCAAGCTCCCTGTGACATATTTGATATGCCAAACACAGTAACAAGTGTCACAATGAAGATGTTACTGGGCCCACTCGAGCAAATCGATGAACAACGGGAGGACAGTGACAGTGATTTTTATTGGTGCAAGAGATACTGAACCCAGGATTTCATCCATCAAAGCATGCTCTCTCCTACAACATTCCTGATGACTTCACTATATTTTGTTTTAGTTTGGGGCAACACCTGGTGCACTTAGGGGCTGTTCCTGACTCTGTGACCTGGTGTCAGGGATCAAACCTGGGCCTCTCACAAACCATGAGCAAAACACATGCTCAGCCCCTTTAGCAGTCTGTCTGCTCTCTGAACAAATTAGAAGGATGATGGATACATGACCAAACCTTCTCAGCAAGGGGGACTTGTCAAAAAATGGAAATAGACTTTGAATGCCGGAATAGGGAGAGGGTTTGATGAATGTGGACTTCAGAGCTAGCAGAGTTTCTGGAGTTGTAGGATGAAAATGGTGCTTTAGGAGGGCAACTTGGTAAGCTACAACCTGGAATACATTTTTAATGGAAACGATTCATTGCAACATCTTGCAATGAATTACTGCAGGAGGTAATCAGGTTTTAGGATCCCAACTATATTCTTCCCCCTTTGGGAGACTGTACAGTGTAGACATTCAAATGTGGTCTAGTTTCAAATGTGAAACTAGATATGCTATGTTTAATTAATGGAGTATATCGAGTGAGTGACAAGGTGAAAGCCCCAGGAGATGGGGGTCTTGTGTGTCAAGTCTTTGTTCAGAGAAGGAGGGGGCAGGAAACAGGAATCCCCTGTTAGGGAGGGTCAAGATAGGCTTCATCTGGTGCAATACCTGGAATTGCTAAGACCTGCAACCTGATTCAGGGGCAGTTTCCTCATCTATACAGAGGATGACAACTCGGAACTTCTATTTTTCTAGTTCCTACCATAGAACCTAGATCTCCTGTGTTCAAGTCAGACAATGTTTCTTCTCTAGCACCCCCCCTCCCCCCCTCAACACACACACACTCCCCAATCCGGCCGCACAGGAGGTGCTCAGCACTTTCTCTTGGCTCTGCGCTCAGGGATAACTCCTGTCAGAGCTTGGGTGACCATATTGGGTGCCAGGGATTGAACCCCGGTGGCTGCGTGCCAGACAAGCTTTCTACCGGCTGTGCTATCTCTCCTAAACTTATTGAACTTCCTTAGTGCTGGCAACTCTGCTCCTTGCTTTGCCCTGGGCATTCTTAATGCCTAGAATCTCTTTTGAAGAAAAAGTTGGCTTTGCTGAAGTTCCATTTGAGAGCAGTGAATTTGAAGATTTTTTTTTTTTTTAAAAACCAGGAGTAAGAAGCTGATTTAACGTGGGGGAGAAAAAAAACTGATAGGGAATGAGGGTCATCAGGACCTTCCAGGAGGTTTTGTATCTTTCAAGGCACAAAGAGCTGGAGGAAGCAGGTGTGCTGGCTTTCCAGGGCAGATAAGTGGCAGTTAGGCAACGCCTCGCCTCGGCACTGCTCACTATTCATCAGCTTAATCGAGTGGGCATGGTGTCCCTCCTCTTTCATTAGCATTTTCATACTTTGTTCCTAGAAAGTGGAGAGAAGTCAAGGAACACACTTTGTGTGTGTGTGTGTGTGTGTGTGTGGGAGCCGGCGTGGCTGCCATGCGGCCATGGAGACTGCCTTGCACATCCTTCTGCCTCCAGCGACTAGCACGGCGCCCGGCCCCGCAGGCGCCCCAGACCTGCCCGTAGCGAAAACTCGAGTTGTCCTTCCCACAGAAGCTCGTCGTGCGCACACGCGGCCGCCAGCAGGTCCGCGCCTAGAAATAACATTTATTCTAAGGACATCAGCGCAGGGATTCTTGGGAAGCGGTTCCTCTCCCGCACGCGCGTGCTGCTCCTCCCCTCGAGCCCCTTTGAAAGAACTGGGCGCGCCACGTGATTCCCTCCTTTCTCTCACCTCGGCGAGCCCCGCCGATAACGGGCAGGTGCAGGAGCCAACCTGGAGGCGCGCTTTCCTCTCCCAGCCAATCGGAAGCGGCGGCAAGCCGGGGCGCTCCGCTTTTGTGGCTTGCCCCGCCCCCCGCCGCCGCGCTCCCCGCCCCCTTTGAGCCCGCCCTCCCCACTCCGCCTCCGAAGAGTCGGCGTTTGACAACGCCTCCGGCCAATGAGAAGTTCCTCCTCCGCCGGGGGGGCGGGGCCGGGCGGGTGATGGACGGCCGCCGGCGGCCAACGGCCTCGCAGGATCGCGGGAGGGGTGCGGGACGCCGCCAATGGCGCGGTGCCAAGAGCGAGCATCAGGGAAAAGGGGCGGGACCAAAGTGTGCGCCGGCGGGAGGGGAAAGGCCCGGGGAAGCCAGCAGCGCCGCCGCCGCCGCCGCCGCCGCCGTCGCCGCCGCCGCCGCGGGAGCCGCGGGAGCCGCGGGAGCCGCGGGAGCGGAGGAGGGAGAAGCCAGGGAGAAAATGGCGGCCGTGGCTGCTGAGGCGGCGGCGACCGCGGCGTCCCCCGGGGAGGGGGGCGCCGGCGAGGCCGAGCCCGAGATGGAGCCCATCCCCGGCAGCGAGGCGGGCGCGGACCCGCTCCCGGGCACGGCCACGGAAGCGTCGGTGCCGGACGGCGAGGCCGACGGGCAGCCGCCTTCCCCGCGGGCCGACGAGCCGCCGCCGCCGACGCCGCCGCTGCCGCCGCCGCCGCCGCCCGGGGAGCCGGGCCGCTGCGGGGACGCGGCCGAGCCGCCGCCCGCCGGGGCCGGGGAGCCGCCCGGGCCGCCCGCGCCCGCCCCGGCCGCCGCCGCCGCCGCCGCCGCCGAGCCCCCGCCCCCGCCCCCGCCCGCGCCCGCGCCCGCGCTCGCGCCGCCCGGGGACGCGGCCGTGTCGCGACTCATCCCCGGCTCCGAGGTGCGGGTCACGCTGGACCACATCATCGAGGACGCGCTCGTGGTGTCGCTGCGCCTCGGGGACAAGCTCTTCTCCGGGGTCCTCATGGATCTGTCCAAAAGGTACCGCGGCCCCGCGCCCCCCGTCGCCCCCCACTCCCGCGCGCTCACCCCCGGGGCGCCCCCCGCGCGCCCCCGGCCGAGGGCGGGCCCGACCCTGGCGCAGGTGGGCGCGGGGCGCGCGGCGCTCGACCCTCCCCGCCGACCTGCGCGCCCCGGGGGGTCCCCCCGGCATCCCCCCCCCCCCCCACATCCCCCGTCGGGCCGTGGGGGACCACGAAGGGCAAGAGCGCGGGGCGCCCGGCGCGGGAGGTGGCGGCGGGTGCGCACCTGGGCTCCCAGGAGCCCGTTAGCTCGAGCGGGGTTGGAGGAAAAGGGGGTGTGCGCGCCGGGCGCCCCAAAGGCTCTCCCTGTCACTCAAGAGCTTCCATCAGAAACCAAGGCTTCTTTTGCTGTTAACTCTGGGAGAATGGAGACCCCCTAGATAACTTTCAGCCGGGAAAGCGCTCTCTCTCTCTCTCTCTCTCTCTCTCTCTCTCTCTCTCTCTCTCTCTCTCTCTCCTTTCTCTCTCCCTCTCTTTTCTCTTTCTCTCTCTTTCTCCCTCTCCTTTCTCTTTCTCTCTCTTTCTCCCTCTCCTTTCTCTTTTTCTCTCTCACTTCTCCTCTCTCGCCAATGGTAGTACTATATACATTTTTTTATAGAAAAGTTCTAAAGGTAGCCTCGGATTGCTCTGGGACTCTGAACCAAAAGATGCAACGGCATAAAAAAAATGTCTCAGTCCCGACTCTTCAGGGCTCTAGGTGGAGGTTCGAACTTAAGAGGATGAGAGGGTTGGCCTGGCACCCGCCAACCTTCTCAGCCGGCACGGTTTCATCTCTTTTTTTTTTTTTTTTGGGTGGAAAATGCTCGTGCGCGTTGCTTTCAACAGGTGAAGAAGAGCGCCTGTTCCAAGCGTAATATAGAGTTAATCTTTTCATTCTCTTCTTTTGCAGATATGAAGTGCAGAGACTCCCATTCACGGCTCTTCATTCTGTTTGCTGCAACAGCACACACTCTCTGACGGTGTCTCACCTCTTGGGAAAGGGCTGATTTTAGTACGCTTTACTTCATTTTTTTTTTTTTTTGAGGGGAGGTGGTTGTCGTCGTTGTTGAGCTGGGGTCGGGGGGTGGGCCGCTTGGAGTCCGCTTGGTGCTAGGGATGGAACTAGGGCCTCACAGATGTCAGGCCTGGGCTCGTATCTTTTGAGCCACATCCCGGACCCCCGGTATGCTTTACCCTTAGTTGCCCTTCCGTCATCATAAGAAAGAATCCTTTCCCACTTGGGGAAGAAAGTCACTTAAAAATTTCATGTGGAAGTCTGCTGCCGGGAAAGTGAGGGACATGGGAACTTTTACAGTTCTAAAATTTTGTTTAATCAGCAGAGAAATTTTTTTTTTTCTTTTTTGTTGTTGTTTTGATAGAAAGCACCATAAGACCAGTATGCTTTCTACTATGTATTCCTTTATATTCTATGTTTTTATTAGAAAGAGAGACTCGGTTGTGTGTTTGCTATTGAATTAAACAGAAGTGAATGCCAGTGATTGTGTGAGAATCTGGATTTCAAATCTGCAAAAGGAAGGTCCAGAAAGGTAAGTTGCTTCTGGAAATGGAAGAGTACTTTTCCTGTCTTGAGGTGCTAACTTTGTGTCCTTTGATAGTTAAAAACCCCTCTGAGTAGAGAACCGCAACTGTTCCTTTTTCCTTTTCCTTTGCAACTTAGTTTCTAAGTGACCGGAAAGAATGAACATCTAAATTGGGAGACAGCTAAGTACATCAGTATATCCAGGCTTTTCTCAGAGAGGAACAGTTATCACTTTTATTTGGACAGCATCATGGCTTTAGAAGAGTGTTTTTTGGGGTTACACCTAGCAGTGCTGCTGGTGGGATAGGAAGGGGACCGCTACTCCCAGTAGGATGCTTGGGGACTGCACCCGGCACTGCCAGAGAGGGGCAGGACAGAGGATTCAGCAGTGAGGTGCAGGGGCTGGAGTCTGGACCCCCTGTGTGCCCAGCTGCCATTTGCACCCGGTCCTCTGAGTCATCTCTCCAGCCTGTGGCAAAAAAGTTTTTGAAATTGTAAGCTATGTTCATTGTGTGCAAAGTGTTTGATCCCAGATACAGAATTTCATACATTATGTGGGTTAGTCAAGCCTGCTTATTTTATCAGCATTTGGAGTCTGTTCACTTTTTTTTATAATTGTGTTTTGCCTCATTTTTAGAGTCATTTGATCGAAGAACGCATTTTTGAGATTTGTTTTTGGTGGGGAAGGGGCAGGGCCCACGCAGATAACTCAGAGGCACAGAAAAGAACGGGCCGTGTTGAAGCTGGTAAGGACAGAATGTGGTCTCTTGATGTTAAGACCGCGACTTCGGGCAAACTTCAGTGGCTGGCTCTCTGGGCTCCAGGATCTGCTTTACGGGGTCCACTAATTTTGATTTGAGTCAACTGATGTTCACTTAAAGTTCTTAATTTCATGTATATTTGCAGCTAGTAGGAAGGCTAGGTTTTAGTTACATTTTGATTTGATTATGGGTTTTTTTTTTTTTGGTCTTTTTCAAAGTAGCTTGCTTTGGCTGAGAAGTTACACGACACACTGAAAAATGAGGATATTAGATTATCTAGTTAGAGGCTGGAATGTGTGCTTTGCATGCGAAGTCCAGGGTTCAGTTCCTGTGTCTGCTGGCAGTGACCCCCAAGCATAAAGGCAGGTACGGCCCTCTCCCTCCTCCAGTGCCCCCAATCCTGAGGCATCTTGCGGGGAAGGGGAGGTAGCCCAGGCGGTCGCACGTGACTCTTCCAGTGCAGTGCCCTGAGTTTGCTGCCTGGGGCTGCCCGGCCTCCAACCTCAGGGGGTGAGCCTGTGGTACCCCGTACAGGTACATTCCGTATGCTGTAAGATTAATTTCATATTTTGGGCCACACCTGGCTGTGCTCAGCACTTAACTCCTGGCTCTGGGCTCAGGGATCGCTCCTGTTAGGCTCAGGGGACCATAGAGGGGGCCAAGGGTAGAACCCGGGTCAGCTGCCTCCAAGCCAAGTGACTTAGCAACTGGACTGTCTCTGGTCTCTAATAGTACTTAAAACCGAGTCCCTCTCTTCTCAGTTGCATCACCATGAGTTACAAAGTTATTCACGATTGTGTTCAGGCTTCCAGTATCCCCATACCTGTCCATCCTGTCACCACTGTCCCCTTCCCTCCACCCATCTACCCAGTTTCCCTCAACCCTGCTTCCCTGCTTTCTTGGCAGGCACTTTTATTTTCCCCTTTACGGCACTGGGGTTTTCAGTATTGTTTCTGGTAAGGTATCATGCATCTCACTTTACCACCTGTCAGCACCCCTTTCCTCCAGAGTGACCCCTTCCCTCCACCATTACCTTAGCGGTCAGCACCTTCTCCTACCCCTCCCCTGCCATGACAAGCTTCCTGATGAACACAGCTCTCATATTCCTTCGTTTCGGTTACCTCTGGGCATTGGTTATTTCCCTACTATGTTTATTATTATTTTTTTTTGGGGGGGGAGCTTTTTTGAGCCACACTTGGCATGCTCAGGGGTTACTCCTGGCTCTGCACTCAAAAGGGACCCCTTGGGATGTTGGGAACAAATCGGGTCGGCTGGGTGTAGGGAAAATGGCCTTCCTGCTGTTCTCTCACTCCTGCTCAACCTACTGTGTTTCTTTAGATCTCACATACAAGAGAGATCATTCTGTGTCTGTCTCCCTCTGTCTAACTTGACTCAGTGTGATGCTCTCTAATTCCATCCACAGAGCAGCAGACTTCGTGACCTCCTTTTCTAACTGTGCAGCAGGATTCCATCATGAACGTGTGCCAGACTGATAACATGCCTGTTATTGGATGCTTCGGTTTTCTCCAGAGTTTGGCTATTGTGATTAGTGCTTCAGTGCACATAGTGGTGCAGATGTCTTTTCTGGATTGTGTTTTTGGACCTTTGGGGTATAAGGAGTGGACTTGCAGGGTCACGTGGGAGCTCAGTTCCCAGTCTTCTTGGTTTTTATTTTTGGGCCACACTCTGGGTTGACTCCTGGCGGTGCTCAGAGGACCATATGGGGTGCCGGGGATCAAAGCTGGGCCCCCCTGGTGCGGGGCAAGGCTCTACCCACAGTAGCCCATCCCTCCAGCCCCAGATTCGAGTCTTGTTGAGGAATGTCCATATTTGCCAAAAAGCCCGAACCAGTCGACATTTCCACCAGCAGTGAATGAGGGTCCCTTTTAACCTTCATTCACACCAACACTGGTTGTTTTTGTTCTTTTTCATGTGTCTCTGGTGTGAGGTGATATTGTTGTTTTGATTTGCAGTTCCCTGATGATTAGTGATGAAGAACGCTTTTTCATACGCCTTTTGGCTAAAACTGTCTCCAAGGTGAGAGATGTCTTCTCTAGTTTATCTCAGACTCCTGCACTGTTGTCTTATACCCAGCCCATTTTAGCTAGTTTGAGTTCTACTACTTGCATTGTAGTCTGATATGAATAGATAACTCACAAATTAAAATCAGTATTTCTGTCCCCCCCCTTTTTAGCGTTGTGCTTTAGAGATTTCAACATAGGTATGTCACCCGGCTGTGCTCAGGGTCTACGCCTGGCTCAGTGCCTGGGGATAGCTCTTGTCTGTGCTTGTTCCAGGGATGACCCCTGGACCTTCATAGCATGTGCTCAGCCCAATGAGCTTGCCGTTCCCACTGTTGGATGATTTAACATAAGCATTTTGTCCAGTTGCTACAACTCAAAATATTTATTTTAGGGAGAATTGACAGTTGTACTGTAAGTTTCTTGTTTTGTTTTTTTTTTGTGTGTGTTAAGACCATACCAGTGATGCTCAGGGGTTCTCCTGAGCTCTGTGCTCAGAAATTACTCCTGGCTCTGCTTAGTGGATCATATGGGACACCAGGGGTAGAACCTGGGTTAGCCAAGTACAAGGCAAACTCCGTGCCACTGTACGATCTTTCTTGCACCTGGACTAAAACATCGCTTTAAAACATTTATTGAATCACTGTGAAATAGAGTT